AGCCTAGAGTCCTGATTGGTCTCGCTTCCTGCCTAGCCCAGCCAGTTAAGTCCAGAACACCAATCCGAGCCTCTGCGATATGAATCATGTATTTCAAACATACTCGGTTTATATAACAAACAAGCAGACCGCAACGTACGATAAAATAGAAAATAACATATGTACACAAATGAGCCGAAAAGTGGCTGTGAACGCGGGAGACAGTAATTAATAGACAGGCCATAACTCAAGAATCAAAAATCATATAGTGATAATCTAGGGGTCAAATTAAAGCTTATAGTAAGTGAAATATAAATACACATAATGTAATTCTTGAATAATTGAACAATAAAAATATTTATAGAAAATTAGTCCAATAATAGTCCTGGGAAGTTACCTGTAGTTTCATCATCACTGGGATATAACATTAATGGTAACAGAAATATATGAGAATGACCTCAAAACAACAAGTTACAACGTCTTCAGATGAACCGAGACGAATATATATATTCACTAAGAGCATATCGGGTGTACCTCATTCCGACCGGTCGTATAAAATGTTTATATTCCTCAACATAATGACTTACAATGGAAACAGTTTACAAAATAATATTTTGTCACATTTTATCCACTAAATGAACATAAAGCTTTCAATACCCTACACATACATTCACGGATAGACAAGCTACGAGTCAGATTGTTTGCCAATATGAATAGTGGGCATTTTCAATCAGCAACAGAAACCAAGAGGAGTCGCATAAAAATTAATTTTAATTACACGTCTGACAATTGTTTGTCGCATTATTTTCATCATCATATTTACAGACTAAAGCAAATTTGAATATACAGTTAATTGATTGGCAGTCACCTGACTGGTATCGATCGTGTAAATTCAAATATCACTTCTATGTATTAAATAGCATGCAACGGTCACAAATATCAGTTGAAAGTTGGTCGCTCACTGAACGGCTGTGTATTTTTCCGCTGCGAATTCTTGTTCATATTATTAGTACAAACATTACGATTATGGCCGCCATCTTACTCACCATGATTGTTCTCGTCCTATTTTCGGTAGTGAGAACATTCATTCTGCCTATTGTGTGGCGTATCATGACACCTATTTTACTAAGTATTTTGATGATTAGTGTCATGATAAACTCGTCATATACTGTGTTAAATGTTCTCATAACTGTTACACTAAATATTATGACTAAATATTATATCATGTCTGCGACTATCTGCCTAGTAATTTTAACTATCATGATGATTGTTATAATAATTAGGATAATAGTTATCGAATTAGGGTCTTGTGTATGCTGACTGTTTTGTCAGCTACCATGCTGATTAGTATAATCTAAATGCAGGTTATAATGCAATTTAAAAATGATGCTTATTTGTATTTTCTATTTATTCTCCTTTGATAGGGGTAGGATGGCAGGTGACGAAGGAGAATATGAGAAGAGAATACTGAACAACAATGTGATTGTAATGTTGTACAAATTTGATTTGATATATAATATAATATAATTTTAAAACAATCCACATTTGTGTTTTCAATGTATTTACTGGTAGATAGTGAATGTGGGCAGTATAGGGAGTGCTTGTAAAAGTCTCATCACTAGGTAGGGTCGGTGAAGTGTAGGAGTTGCTCGGTTGTGCAGCCGTGGTAATTTTACAAACTGATGATTCCTTCGTACTTGATTGCACGCTGATTACGAATCGCAAATATAATACGTTCATTTGTGCTGATCTAGTTCTGACTGCCTTAAATAGCACCGTAGGTATTTTCTCCGAGCTAGTCATCATTATGAGTTTCTGAATAGTGGGGAGACAATTCAGGAATATGATCATTTTTATGATTCTCCGTACACATTTAAACGTACTCAATGTATGAATTTCTGACGAGATACTGTTCGAAACTTTGTAGGAAGCAATTTCCTACAGGTGTAACTCTAAGCTATTCTCTAGACCGTCAAACACAGAGTCTTGGTTTAGCCAAAGTCAGAACAAGTAAGCTATTTGGCTTGATAAACTCTGTCTGTTTCTAAAACATAATTTCACACCGTTACTATACAAAATAAACAATACAGTCTATCAACACAGGGAAAAACAGAGACATAAATAACATACCGAACAGTAGCTAGAGGATAGGAAAAATGAGTCAACAGGGCAAATATTGTTTTATAATCAACATAAAGGTAATTGTGCTTAGTGAATAAACAAGACATAGTGATACAAGGTCAAAGAAAGTTAATGTGGTGGTGGTGGTGGTGGTGGTGGGCGTTTCACTTTATCATTGGTGAGTTCGTTTATCGATCACACCTCACACTCATTTCGTTCGATTCAAATACAACTTCCATCCATTCGGTTTAAGTTGTTCTATAGCCATATTTTACGAAGTGATGGATCATGTTGTCAGTGATCTCAAAGTTGTTCAAGTTTATCAAGGTGATCTTATTATTCTATTATTATGGTTCTCACAAAGTAGCTCATGATCAGAGACTTATCGCTTGATTGCGTCGTTTAATGGTGAAGAACAATACGGCGAATTCCAATAAATGTCCACATTGTGTATCTAGTTTTGAATATCTTCCATACCTAGTTGACGGTAACGGTTTTAAACCAGATATGAAGCAACAAGCTCCACTGATTACTCACTGATTAAGAATTACAAATATTTTACGTCCAGTTTTGTTCTTCTAGTTCTACCTGCCTTGAATAGCACTGTTTCGGAAATTCTTACTTAGTACATTAATTCTAATACTTCTAATTATTATGGTAGCTCTCACGTATGAGTATGTCAGTTTAGTAGTAGTTACCTAATTTGCTAGCAATTTAAGCGTACTCAATGCACAACCCGTAAGTCGTAGAACAAAGTAGCCGTTTCATGAGTCACCATCTGTTATAACTTGTGACCGCCGATTAGAGAGCAGTGAATTATCGATCGAATCAATGACTCGTAAAACCCGTACGAGCAGCCTAGAGTCCTGATTGGTCTCGCTTCCTGCCTAGCCCAGCCAGTTAAGTCCAGAACACCAATCCGAGCCTCTGCGATATGAATCATGTATTTCAAACATACTCGGTTTATATAACAAACAAGCAGACCGCAACGTACGATAAAATAGAAAATAACATATGTACACAAATGAGCCGAAAAGTGGCTGTGAACGCGGGAGACAGTAATTAATAGACAGGCCATAACTCAAGAATCAAAAATCATATAGTGATAATCTAGGGGTCAAATTAAAGCTTATAGTAAGTGAAATATAAATACACATAATGTAATTCTTGAATAATTGAACAATAAAAATATTTATAGAAAATTAGTCCAATAATAGTCCTGGGAAGTTACCTGTAGTTTCATCATCACTGGGATATAACATTAATGGTAACAGAAATATATGAGAATGACCTCAAAACAACAAGTTACAACGTCTTCAGATGAACCGAGACGAATATATATGTTCACTAAGAGCATATCGGGTGTACCTCATTCCGACCGGTCGTATAAAATGTTTATATTCCTCAACATAATGACTTACAATGGAAACAGTTTACAAAATAATATTTTGTCACATTTTATCCACTAAATGAACATAAAGCTTTCAATACCCTACACATACATTCACGGATAGACAAGCTACGAGTCAGATTGTTTGCCAATATGAATAGTGGGCATTTTCAATCAGCAACAGAAACCAAGAGGAGTCGCATAAAAATTAATTTTAATTACACGTCTGACAATTGTTTGTCGCATTATTTTCATCATCATATTTACAGACTAAAGCAAATTTGAATATACAGTTAATTGATTGGCAGTCACCTGACTGGTATCGATCGTGTAAATTCAAATATCACTTCTATGTATTAAATAGCATGCAACGGTCAGAAATATCAGTTGAAAGTTGGTCGCTCACTGAACGGCTGTGTATTTTTCCGCTGCGAATTCTTGTTCATATTATTAGTACAAACATTACGATTATGGCCGCCATCTTACTCACCATGATTGTTCTCGTCCTATTTTCGGTAATGAGAACATTCATTCTGCCTATTGTGTGGCGTATCATGACACCTATTTTACTAAGTATTTTGATGATTAGTGTCATGATAAACTCGTCATATACTGTGTTGAATGTTCTCATAACTGTTACACTAAATATTATGACTAAATATTATATCATGTCTGCGACTATCTGCCTAGTAATTTTAACTATCATGATGATTGTTATAATAATTAGGATAATAGTTATCGAATTAGGGTCTTGTGTATGCTGACTGTTTTGTCAGCTACCATGCTGATTAGTATAATCTAAATGCAGGTTATAATGCAATTTAAAAATGATGCTTATTTGTATTTTCTATTTATTCTCCTTTGATAGGGGTAGGATGGCAGGTGACGAAGGAGAATATGAGAAGAGAATACTGAACAACAATGTGATTGTAATGTTGTACAAATTTGATTTGATATATAATATAATATAATTTTAAAACAATCCACATTTGTGTTTTCAATGTATTTACTGGTAGATAGTGAATGTGGGCAGTATAGGGAGTGCTTGTAAAAGTCTCATCACTAGGTAGGGTCGGTGAAGTGTAGGAGTTGCTCGGTTGTGCAGCCGTGGTAATTTTACAAACTGATGATTCCTTCGTACTTGATTGCACGCTGATTACGAATCGCAAATATAATACGTTCATTTGTGCTGATCTAGTTCTGACTGCCTTAAATAGCACCGTAGGTATTTTCTCCGAGCTAGTCGTCATTATGAGTTTCTGAATAGTGGGGAGACAATTCAGGAATATGATCAATAAACACAAATCTCTTCATGTACACCTGCAACGTTGCCAGTTTTTGTTAATACCTTATTAAATAAAAGTTTTGTATTCACTAAACACAGAGTTTCTTGTTATATTTGGTATAAGGGGGTGAAACACTCAATGGGCCTGTAGTTGTGTTTTGACGAGCGCGTACCCTCACGATACTAGTGACCCGTCACGAACTTTAATTAACAATGGAATATGAAACAAATATTTACACCAGGTTTCAAATTACATTGTAGCATTGGTGAAGTGAAGCTGCAGTAGTTGTTTCTTTTCAAACGACAGGGTATAAGAAGTAACTCCAAAACACTGGAAGTGGTTGTGAGACTAAAGTGGACGTCCGATATGCTTTTAATAATCTGCTTTTACTTGGGTCTCCCATAAAGTTTCATAGGGCCATAGTTATAAAGCTGAATGACTTTGTAAGATCTGTGACGGTTCATTCCTGTTACATTCTAAATAAAAGATAGTAGTGGATTTATTCAATAATGTTGAAAAGGTAGATAAATAAATTACGTGTTTCTAAGGAAAGAATTTATGCGGCTGTGATTTACCTCAACTTCATAAATGTCAGATCACGCCAGCTAATAAAACTTTTCAAAGCACAGCATCGCACAGCTTTTATTATTTTGTTCCCACTTAAGTATTCCCATGCATCTGCGTCCGGTTTTACAGGAAGATATACAAGTTGATTTAGTATCTGGTAAACTGAAATTTCCAGTTGTAAAAAAGACTTAACACTTGTCCACAGCCAGCAGCATTTAATTAAGACAGAACACTTCTTATCTAAGACTGTATACTGCTGTTTTGCAGGCAAATAAAAGCTCAAACACTTAGCTATCCTACCACCGATGTTATTGCTGTGGAAATCGTTTAATGACAGTGGTCTTGAAACATGGACAGTGTTAGACGTACTGTCCAGAAATAAACACCAAACGTACTTAAAGCTATCAAATAATGTATGACAGCAACAGTACCAAAGGCATTTTTCCCTATTTTTAATCAGACTGATTTGAATCAGTATACATATTAGAAACAGGCAACTCTACTTACTAGACTGATCTGTTTCATTAGTCTTCAAGCAATATACTTAAGTATACCATAACTCTTTCGACTAAACTGAATTATACGTCAACCAAGAATACTAAACTAAGCAAGTGTCGTAATTATTGTTTCATTTGCATAAACATGTTGCTCAAAGTAGTTAAATGGACATAATTCAGCCGATAAAACAAAAACATGAAATATAGGTCAGTCGAATTTACCCAAGAGAAGACAAAGGATACATATATTGCTTGCAGACTGAGGACAACAGTCAGTTGTTCATAAAAACATAGTTTACAGTACAACAAACCTTCCTTCAGTAACATCATGCAGCGACGGTCTATCTGGAAACAATCAACTATGAGATTAAACTCACTATGACTTGGGATATCACTCCAGCGTGCAATGAATGTACAGTGTAACGCAGTCAGACGTGGCGAATAAAAGCTATAACCAGAGTAAAATTAACAACATAATCTATTTGATTAATTAAAAATACATTATGAAATGACAAAATCTGTGGTTACTTGACTCTGGGCGATACATTAAGTTTACATGGTTTCGTTGCGGATAAATTCACCCTATCTTACCACATCTAAAACATCTAGCATTACGAAATGCACATGAATTACGAGAATGAAGTTTTCCACATGATAAACATTTGTCAAACTTGGTCTCACCTTTGTGATTTCCTTTGTAATTCCTTGTTGAAACACCTTTCATATTTACACGGGAATAGGAGCCACTGTTAAACGAACGCAATTTTGATTGACCCTGAGATTGTATTCCATCATGACGACTAAGCAAAGTATTAGAAATATTCATCGACTGGATATCAAGTTCATTCACTGCCTCGTAGTTAATACACGCAGTTCTAGCATCTTGAAAGGAACAGTTGGGCATTGTTAACAGCTCTCTTTCCAAACCCGGTATGTTGATTCCTGCGATTAATCGGTCTCTCAGTTGCACATGAAGTTGATCACCAAAATTACATTTGGCAGCTTGTTTCTGCAATTCAAGGATGAATTTCTTAACTTTCTGGTCATTTCGACGAGTCATCTTATGAAATTCTGCCCTTTCACGGCATTCAAAACTAGTGCACTTTACATGATTTAATAATAACTCCTTAATAGCTGCATAAGGAAGTGAGATAGGTTTTTCTGGATATGCCAAAGTTTTCAATAAGCTGTATGCTTCTTTTCCGATGAACGTCAGGAAATGTGCCACAATTTTAGCACCTTTACCATCCTTCTTGGTCATGCTCCTGAAGATGCCACAGGTATTCGAAGTTTGACAACGCTTTAAGCAGTAACACCTTCTAATACGAAGCGCACACACCAAGTAAAATCAAAAGACAGAAGTGAGGAGATCGAAGATATATTTGATAAGCTATCAATATATCGAGGATCGTTTGCACTAATCTGGCTAGCGATTGCGGCAGATGTTGAGCACGTCGTTCCCACACGTGATCTGGTGCGGATACTTGACCGAGCGCCTTCAGCTAGATGAGTCCACTAAAACTGTGGTCAGCATCCAATGTCGAAAACTTACAGAGCTATTTGATTTTCGGGAATTATTTACCGCTACAAACTTAAAACGAATGGATGGAAGTTGTATTTGAATCGAACGAAACTAGTGTGAGGTGTGATCGATAAACGAACTCACCAATGATAAAGTGAAACGCCCACCACCACCACCACCACCACATTAACTTTCTTTGACCTTGTATCACTATGTCTTGTTTATTCACTAAGCACAATTACCTTTATGTTGATTATAAAACAATATTTGCCCTGTTGACTCATTTTTCCTATCCTCTAGCTACTGTTCGGTATGTTATTTATGTCTCTGTTTTTCCCTGTGTTGATAGACTGTATTGTTTATTTTGTATAGTAACGGTGTGAAATTATGTTTTAGAAACAGACAAAGTTTATCAAGCCAAATAGCTTACTTGTTCTGACTTTGGCTAAACCAAGACTCTGTGTTTGACGGTCTAGAGAATAGCTTAGAGTTACACCTGTAGGAAATTGCTTCCTACAAAGTTTCGAACAGTATCTCGTCAGAAATTCATACATTGAGTACGTTTAAATGTGTACGGAGAATCATAAAAATGATCATATTCCTGAATTGTCTCCCCACTATTCAGAAACTCATAATGATGACTAGCTCGGAGAAAATACCTACGGTGCTATTTAAGGCAGTCAGAACTAGATCAGCACAAATGAACGTATTATATTTGCGATTCGTAATCAGCGTGCAATCAAGTACGAAGGAATCATCAGTTTGTAAAATTACCACGGCTGCACAACCGAGCAACTCCTACACTTCACCGACCCTACCTAGTGATGAGACTTTTACAAGCACTCCCTATACTGCCCACATTCACTATCTACCAGTAAATACATTGAAAACACAAATGTGGATTGTTTTAAAATTATATTATATTATATATCAAATCAAATTTGTACAACATTACAATCACATTGTTGTTCAGTATTCTCTTCTCATATTCTCCTTCGTCACCTGCCATCCTACCCCTATCAAAGGAGAATAAATAGAAAATACAAATAAGCATCATTTTTAAATTGCATTATAACCTGCATTTAGATTATACTAATCAGCATGGTAGCTGACAAAACAGTCAACATACACAAGACCCTAATTCGATAACTATTATCCTAATTATTATAACAATCATCATGATAGTTAAAATTACTAGGCAGATAGTCGCAGACATGATATAATATTTAGTCATAATATTTAGTGTAACAGTTATGAGAACATTTAACACAGTATATGACGAGTTTATCATGACACTAATCATCAAAATACTTAGTAAAATAGGTGTCATGATACGCCACACAATAGGCAGAATGAATGTTCTCATTACCGAAAATAGGACGAGAACAATCATGGTGAGTAAGATGGCGGCCATAATCGTAATGTTTGTACTAATAATATGAACAAGAATTCGCAGCGGAAAAAATACACAGCCGTTCAGTGAGCGACCAACTTTCAACTGATATTTCTGACCGTTGCATGCTATTTAATACATAGAAGTGATATTTGAATTTACACGATCGATACCAGTCAGGTGACTGCCAATCAATTAACTGTATATTCAAATTTGCTTTAGTCTGTAAATATGATGATGAAAATAATGCGACAAACAATTGTCAGACGTGTAATTAAAATTAATTTTTATGCGACTCCTCTTGGTTTCTGTTGCTGATTGAAAATGCCCACTATTCATATTGGCAAACAATCTGACTCGTAGCTTGTCTATCCGTGAATGTATGTGTAGGGTATTGAAAGCTTTATGTTCATTTAGTGGATAAAATGTGACAAAATATTATTTTGTAAACTGTTTCCATTGTAAGTCATTATGATGGTGAAAATATTGCGACAAACAATTGTTAGACTTGTAATTATAAATAATTTTTATGCGACTCCTCTTGGTTTGTTCTGCTGATTGATAATCTACACTATTATTGTACTGATATTCTCCAAATATTTTTATTGTTCAATTATTCAAGAATTACATTATGTGTATTTATATTTCACTTACTATAAGCTTTAATTTGACCCTTAGATTATCACTATATGATTTTTGATTCTTGAGTTATGGCCTGTCTATTAATTACTGTCTTCCGCGTTCACAGCCACTTTTCGGCTAATTTGTGTACATATGTTATTTTCTATTTTATCGTACGTTGTGGTCTGCCTGATCGATTTGTAAACCGAGTATGTCTGAAATGAATGATCCGATTCATATTACAGAAGCTGGTATTGTGTACTGGACTCATGTGTTCTTGTTAGAAGACATAGGACCCAATAAGGATGCTAGACTGCTCAGACCGGTTGAATGTCATTTGTTCTGTCATACAGCGAAGATTTGTATAAGCCGTATTCTGGTTGGTGGATAAGTCACCTGATCGAACGCCGGACATTAAAATCTTTACAAATTGGCGTCGGAGATTTTGGCAAGAAGAAGTAATACAGTGATTGGTTACTCAGATTTTGGAAAGAAATAAGCTGTAAGAATTGTCGATGATTTTTTGGAATTTATATTATTATTAGCAGTAATAAAAGAATATGGTGATTTCCTTAGAACACAAACAGTTATTATTACAGCAGCAGCAACAGCAATATCAACAGCAACAATTTCAGCAACAGCAACAACAGCAGCAAATTTTAGCTTCTCAACGGAAGTTGCTAGAAATACTTTTGGGGAAACTATCTATTCAACAAGATATTCCAGAACATAAAGGTATCGAGTCATGTCTTAATCCAGTTACAGAATTTATATTTGATGCAGACAATGGTCACACTTTTGAAGCATGGTTTGGCAGAATCGAAGATATTTTCCGAGTGGAATTTGCTGCTATGGATGACGCAAAGAAAGTCCGGCTGCTCTTACAGAAGCTTGGTCCTAATGAGCATCAAAAGTATAAAAACCATATCCTGCCTAAATACCCACGAGAAGTTAGTTTCGAAGAAACTGTTAACATCCTAAATAAAATGTTTTGTGAACAGGCGTCCTTATTCCGTATCCGGTATAACTGTCTACAGCTGACTTAAGAGGCTGATGAAGACTACACCACGTACGCCGGAATAGTAAATTTGCAAGCAGAACGATTTAAATTAAATGTATTAACCAGTGATCAATTTAAATGCTTATTATTCATTTCTGGTCTAAACTCTCCTGTTGATGCTGATTTTCGCATGAAGTTGTTATCCCGTATGGAACATGATGATGAAATGACGTTACAAACTATCACCACTGAATGTCAACGATTAATAAACTTAAAACAATATACAGCTATGCTGGAAACCAAAAGTGCAGCGCCATCGAATTCTGTTCATGCTGTCAAGACAAGTCAAAGACAAAATAGTACCAAAAGTCATAAATATCACTGGAAAACTCCTAAACCTGCAACTAAATGTTGGTATTGTGGTGCGTGGCATTTCTCAAGATTTTGTCGGTTTAGAAATCATAAATGCACTATATGCAATAAAGTTGGCCACAAAGAAACAGTCTGCCGAACTCGAGGAAGTTCGAGATCAAAACAAACCAGGCGTCCTCACCAGTACCAAAATAAGTATATAAACAGTATATATTCCACACTGGCTCTAAGCGGAGCGGATAAAAGAAGATATATGGAATTATTGGTTAACGGTGTTCTTGTTCGATTGCAATTGGACACAGCATCAGATATCACACTGATCTCGAAACGAACGTGGGATTTGATTGGGTGTCCGAAAGTATTACCAACAGAGCACACTGCACGGAATGCGTCCGGAGATATATTAAAACTTGTTGGAATGATAAAATGTTCTGTTAAATTCCGAGGTAATTACTTTACAAGAAATAATAATAATATATTTCTGCATGAGCAGGTACACGCCATTTTTACAGGCATGATCTACAAATTATAACATTTGTTGGAGCATAGCATGCTTCCTAACTTATTAAGTTTATAGTTGTTATAAAGTAGTCTCGTAGAGCGCTTGTTATAAACCATGGCCTTGAGTTGACGCATACGTCAAGTTTGTTCCAGACGTTAGAAGTTCCATAGCTGTGCCCTCGGAGCAAGATTCTGAAGAAAATAAAAAAGAGAAACAGCAGAGCAACAAGGCACTTGGATATGGACTCCAAACGTTGCTTAACATTACGTAGAACAGACAAAGGTATAATAAACTAGATTAAATTCATATTATCTCTTGTTAGAGTGAAATAGAGTCAGAGGCTCCATTCAAGAGAATGCAGTAATAAAGAACAATGAATTGTGATGTTTAACAAGTTGGATTAAGCTCATATGAAGGAAGGGAAGTTAAGGTTGGTACAGGGAAAGTTGTTTATTAGAAGGGAGTGTGCATATAAAGGGTGAAGTGTTGAAAATATTAATAACTATATCTTTTGTTGTCTGATTTTTTCTTTCTTTTTTTTCATCCGATGCCAGCCACACAATCCATGTGTAAAAGTCCGAGTTAGCATGTTATAGGTTGTCTTAGTAGAATAGCTACTCCAGTATAAAATTGGAAACATGAGTCTGAGTGGTGAGCGTAGGAAAATAATATATATCACAGATTGATTGACTCATAGAGAGCCTGATACATACAAAATGTTCTGCCCCACAAACACGGGTGGATTGAAGTCATCGCCCTCACCATCAATGCTTGCTGGTCAGTAACTCCACCCTCCCTCATTTTGTGATGTTAGGCTCATTTAAGCTTATTCTTTGATATATATCATACCTCACACAATCCTCTGTTTCACAATCTGTTGGAAAACACTTTCTATAAGTACCATTTCACAAGCTTATCAGGCAGTTACAAATTATGAACTGTGGGTAAGG